AGTAGAACTGAAATCATTGATTCATATTTGCAGAGTTGTGACACAAGTTCCTCCACCATTGTCCCAAGGTCCTTTCCCCCATCCCCAAACCCTCTTAGCATCCTAGATCCCAGTTCTATTGATTGTGCCTCCGGGCTTGTTTCCTTTGGCAAACTTCTGTTTCTTTATATTTCACGTGTCACATTTTATTTCCCTGTAAGGTTTCTGGTTTCGAGTGTAAAACTGAAATTGAATGCTTTAAGAGAAATATATAATAAAACTAATCACCACCCATCTCCCCTGGGCCCTGCCAAAAACAAACAAACAAAACACCAATCTTAAGGGCAGGCCAGAGATAGTAAGGCACTTGCCTTGCATGCGACATATGGGGTTAAAACCCTGACACCCCATATAGTCCCCAGAGCACCACCAGGAACAGTTGCTGAGCACAGAGCCAGGAGTTACCTTAAACATTGCCAGGTATGGCAGAAGAAAAAAAAACCTGCTTTTGCCTACACGTTATGCTGGAATATTCCAGTGTTGATTTTACAGCTTTGAGAAGCCACCAATAATTAATCACACTCATTTTAAGTATGCCCCATAAGACCAATACCTAAATTCACTCATAAATTGGACAAACGCATGCTATAATCCACAGAATGCAGTTTTCACTGCAAGGATTTGAGAAATGATTTTGGACATAAACACAAACAAATGCATTTTTATTCAGAGAAAATGGCCACTTTAATACCAAACATAACTGCCAGAGTCAGTTCACAAAGAGTAGAAAGAAAGTGAAGAAACTCCATTTTGAGAAGCCTAACATTGTTCCAAAGCAACGGAGACAAAAAGCTACCACGGGCAGTGAGGGTGTCACTCATATACACACACCCTGGGTGAAGAAGCAAGGATAAACGTGGGATATGTTTGAAAATACTTTATCTGCTCTGGTTACATGATTTCAAATCTGGTTTGACATATAGAAAAAGACACAATTCAATCAGATCCTTAAAGCAGGGGGCGTTTAAAAATTAAAAAAAAAAATCTGAGCGAGCGTTGCAAACTGACCTCGAAAGTCTCTCTGGCCAGCTGGAATGGCCGCTGCCAGGGAGAGCCGGCCGGGAAGGGCCCACTCCAAGTTCACTTGGGGAAAAGGCCCCCCGGAGGGGTCGCTGGTGGGGCATCAGCCCTCATTTGTCCCCAGAGATGATTCCATGTCAGTCCCAGAGGGACAAGAGCCTAGGCAGGTACAAATCCTGGTCCTGAAACCTCCAACAAGGCACTGGCTCATGTGAGCATGAGGCACTGACTGGGGAACACGGTTCTACCTTGGAGGGAAATCCAGGAAACAGAACAGGGGGCGGCGTCTTTACAAAGCCCGTATCTGATGAACTTCAAGTTCGATCTTGGGATTTTCAGACACTCCTCAAAGGGGTAGGCACAAGGATGCCCCAAATTACAGCCCAGGTCTCAGACGTGGTTCACCAACCCCGGAACTCTGTGTGTGTGTGTGTGTGTGTGTGTGTGTGTGTGTGTGTGTGTGTGTTCCACTGCCCAAAAGATTAAACATGTTCACTGAAGTGCTTGCTTGACTTCAAATACTATAAATTAGGAGTCTGACTTAAATCATCACTTGTTAACAATGCTTTTTTAATACCCTCAATCTAGTTCCTGCTGTATATGGATCTTGGGAAAACTTGAAGCAGGATAAATTAGGTAGTCATGCTGACTGATCACCATAATCTAATTCCTAAATATCAAATCTTGACTTCTCTGCATGATCAGGGGATGAAGAAGCACTTTTGATTGAGCATCAATCAATAACAGAAAGAAGTTACAATTTTTCAAAAAAAACTTAAGACATCAAAACCTATAGGACATGATACATTTAATATCCCTTTCCCAAGTCTCATCAATCTAAGTGCAGGAACTATTCATTAAAAAAAATAAAATAGAAGTCAGGGCCTGAGTGATAGTACAGCAGGTAGGGCATTTGCTTTGCACCTGGCCAACCAGGTTCAATCTCCGGCATCCCATATGGTCCCCAAGCACCACCAGGAGTAATTCCTGAGTGCAGAGCCAGGAGTAACCCCTGAGCATTTCTAGGTGTGAGAAAAAAATAGAAAATAATAGAAGTTCGTTCATTACTTCTTAGTGTCCATTCATGCTCAGCTCTTTTTTTTAAAGGAAGACTCACTAGGAAGTCTCCAAATCCAGTGATAGGTACTCAAGTGTATATGTAGCTAATAAAACATGTATTCCCTAACCTGTTTTTTTTAATGGAAAACCACAGCTGACATTTAATATACTTCATTCAGTCTATAAGATAAAGTGTCAACTCTAGAAAACATCTACTTATAACTATATTAAGAGGGAAAGGAGATATAAAGAAAGTAGACCAAAATATTAACAGTGGTCATCCTTGGACGATAGAAATACGTACTACTCTTTTTCCTTCTGCAATTTTTCTGTAGTTTCCAAATTTTCTTTAAAGAGCATGGAGTGCAAACAAAAGCACTGTAAGTAGAAATAGGAGTAATGCTCTAAACAAAACTGAAAATAAAGTTGGTTTAATCCTACTCTTGATCAACCATACCAGTGACAAGCTGTAACTAAACCCATTCCACTCTTTAATTTTTTTTTTTTTTTTGGCTTTTTGGGTCACAAGCAGCAGTGCTCAGGGATTAGTTACTGCTGGCTCTGCCTCAGGAATCACTCTTGGCAGTGCTCAGGGGACCATAGAGGATGCCGGGGATCGAACCCAGATCAACCCCAGGCAAGGCAAACGCCCTCTCTGCGGCACTATCGCACTGGCTCCTTCACTCCTTTCTACAGTCCTCAATTTTTTAAAACTGACCTCCAGAAGGCCTTTATTTTTCATGTCAAAAGCCTGATTTCTGACAGCTTAGCTTAGTCTTCTGCCTTCTAGAAGAGTGATGCAAATAGCCCTGTGAGTGGAGGCATTGGAGTGATGGCACAGTGGTAGGCCGTTTGCCTTGCGCACAGCCAGCCCAGCCGAGCCGGGTTCGATTCCTCCGCCCTTCTTGGAGAGCCTGGCAAGCTACCGAGAGTATTCAATATGCCAAACGCAGTAACAAGAAGTCTCACAATGGAGACGTTACTGGGCCCACTTGAGCAAATCGATGAACAACGGGAAGACAGACAGACAGACTTTTGTAATAGAGTCTTCCAGAACGGCAAAGACAAAATCTTGTATTCTGGAGGGTCCATTCACCAGGGATCAAGTCTTTCACTTGACAGAGAAATGGTCCTTCTGTTGGGACAATGTGTCATCTCTGAGGACTCTCCAGTCATAAATTAAACCACCACCAACCCACCCAACCCTCCCACACACCCCACTTCTACAGTCTCTACTTCTCACTTATACTTCTCCACGAAGGCATCTATCTAGACTTGAGCTACACTAAAAGGCCTAATCTGAAGCATTTTATACAGCAGAACTAAAGAGACCAGAACTGACGCCTACATCAACGTACAGTGACACACTAGCAAATGGAGAGCAGTTAACAGCAGTATGCAAATTCTGTTCCATGAATCACCTACAACTCAAAAAGTCCAGTAGAGGTTCCAGATACAATATTCTTATACATCATATTTCTTAAAATATATGTTTAAGCAAGAATTAAAGCAACACGTATACTCCCTCAATATTAAGTGTATCTACTTTGGAAACCATCAGTTTGTTAATATGTATTCTCATTATCTGCTATTCTTATAAAAGAAATACTTTAAATATAACCTTGAAATAAATTTAATTTGATAAAACAACATATTTCAAACGCTAAGATTCCATAAAGATATCTTACTGAAAAAACAGGGTTCCACTGCTACTTTGAAATCCACAGCAGAATAGTCATTTTTTAATCTAAATTCAATGGTATATCCGATTTTTCACTTAGGATCCTGAGAAAATTCTAAGCAGAGTAAGAGTTCCTGGTCATGCTTCACCCTGCCACCATCCCTTACTCAGACTACCGACAAGACTCCCGTCCACACGAGGACACATCTGTGCTGTCCCTCGATGGAATGTTGGCCGAGCAGGAGATGCCTGAGATCAAGTAAGCGTCCCTGAGGTTAGCGGTCCCCACCCTGCACACAGCTTCATAGTTCTTCCACTCAGCCCAACAAGGGGAAACCCGCTGAAGCCAGTCATTTAAGTGAGAAAAGATTTAAAATGAGCTTTCCCCCCTTTGAAAAGGGAGGATGTTGTCCTCTCGCAAAAGGAGAGAGAAAGACAGAGAGAGAGAAATTTCCTGAGGAGCAGATAGGAGGCTTCGAATGAGAAAACCTGGGCTTCATGCTTGCCCCTCAATTTTGCACCACCAGGTAATAAGCCCATTAGCAAACTCGGAGAGGCAAGGATGGGGGTATTGGGGGCTGTTTATGGGGCTCAGTCTCCAAAGCTATTCTGCTCTGTGTGCCTGAGACCCCTGGGGGGGGGGGTGCAGAAACGAGGGGACACGGGCAGACGGTGCCAGTATTGCAAACGTGCTGCTCTTTCAGAACGGTGGAAATTTTGGCACGGAGGGGTCTTTCTCAGTAGCTTCTTCCTCCTAAGTCCACTGTCCGCTGAGCAGAGGTAGTTGTACAAAAAAGGCGCGGGCTGCCGGGCGGGGGAGACCCCGAGTGGCAACGGAGTCTCCCGGGCCACTGCCCAGGATGCGGCTCGGGGGTCTGGGTTTGGTTTTCCTGGCAGTTTCTCCCAGCTGACGGACGCTGGCCGAAGGTGAGAGGGTCTTGTCTCCTGCGGTAGCTGTGGATGAGCAGAAACAGCCCCTCCAAGGCGCGGGCCGGGGTCAGTGAGGTCCCTGCAGGAGGTGAGGCGTTTGCTCATCAAGCCACCGCATGCGGGAGGGAGGGACACTGCCGGATGCATCCCGGGCCCCTCTACTCTGCATCTTTTGGGAAAGGGGGTGATTCTCCACGGTCCCAGGCAGCCCCCACACACCCCACGGGGTAGCCCAAGGGTACAGAATGTTGGAAAGACAGCCCCCCTCCCCCAACTCCGCCACCAGGCAGCCCGTGTTGGCCCTCCAGCGAAGCCCCGCGCCGGGGAGGGTCAGCGGCCAAGCCTGCTGGCCGTCACGTGATCTTCACCGGCGACTTCTTCGCGCACAGGAGGGACACGTAGGGGACGCCGATGAAGGCCCATTTCTCACTGGGCCAGAACTTGATGACGGGGCCTTGCTCGGGGATCTCGGAGGCGGCATCAAAGTAGGCGAAGCACACGCAGCCCAGGTAGGCGGCCAGGCAGATCAGGATGTGCCTGTGGAGGAGCAGACAGGTGAGACCCCTGCACGCGCACACGCGCACACACGCGCGCCCGGACCACCCAGGGCCCTCGCATGCGGCCCAGCCACCTCCCCCGGGGCTGATGACCATCCTGGGCCACTGCTGGTTTAGACGGGCCGAGGGTGACTCCACAGTCCCCAGAACAGCAGGCGATGGACACGTCTGGGGCAGGTGGGCCTGTTTCAGGATGCGCTAGAACACAGGCCTCTGGGCTTTACCGCAAGGAGAGAGAGAGAGACACCCAAGGCCTGAGAGCAAGAGTCTAAGAAGAGGGAAATCACCGCCACCAATTACAGAGGGTAGCCGTTGCATCATTACACCCTTCAATGGGGAGCTTAGCATGATGATCTGCTTCTGCAGCTTGGGGGGAAGGGGAGGAGGAGGTTAATTTATCCCTACTGTACTGGTAAATTGTGTTTATTATTCCTGACAACCTTTTCAGCATCTATATCCCAAACCACGGCTGGAGCTGGTAGGGCATTTGTCTTGCATGCAGCTGACCCAGGTTCGATTCCTTTGTTCCTCTCCAGAGCCTGGCAAGCTTCTTAGAATATCCCGCCCACAGGGCAGAGCCTGGCAAGCTCCCCTTGGCATTTGATATGCCAAAAACAGTAACAAGTCTCACAATGGAGACATTACTTGGTGCCCGCTCGAGCAAATTGATGAACAACGGGATTGCAAACCACAATGTCTAAAGAGGGGAGGGGGGAGGGAGGGAGAGAGAGAGAGAGAGAGAGAGAAGAGGGGGGAGGGGGAGAGAGAGGGAGAGGAGGGGGAGAGATGGGGGGGGGAGAGAGAGAGAGAGAGAGAGAGAGAGAGAACTGCCATAGAGGCAGGCACAGGAATGCAAGGTATGATGGGAGGGAACCTGGGGACACTGGTGCTGAGAAATGTACACTGGTGGAGGGATGCCTGTTGAAATACTGTATAACTGAAACCCAATTATGAACAGCTTTATAAGGGTCTATCTCACAGTGATTCAATACAAATTCTTTTAATTGTTTTTTAAATCTCTTTTTTGGCAGGGTGGTGGTGGAATTCAGTCAGCGGTGCTCTAGCTACACGGGAGCTTTCCCATGCAAGGCATGGGAATCACACCAGAGCCAAAAGTTCTCATCTTATAATTTAAAAAAAAAAAAATGGAGGATGGGCATGCCAGGAATTGCACTCCAGACTTCACACCTACAAGGCATGTGCTATTGTTCAGCCATATCCTTAATCCATGATATCAATTTGTTTTGCTTAGGGGCCATACCCCGCAGTGCTTAGAGCTTACTCCTGGATCTATGCTCAGGGATCACTCCTGGAGGGTTCGAGGGACCAAATGGGGTGTGAGGAATGGAACTTGGGTCAGCCATGTACAAGGCAAGCGCCCTACCTACTTACTGTGCGATCTATTCAGCCCCTATAATATTAACTCTCCTAAGTTTTAACATTAATCTTTGTCCGGGGGAACCACTTAAGGGCTAGATTGAAACTCAATTCCAGATGAATTAAAGATTTTTTAAAAATCCTGTGTGTGTGGCCGGAGCGATAGTACAGCAGGTAGAGCACTTGCCTGGTACATGGCTGATCCAGGTTCAATCCCAAGCATCCCTTATGGTCCCCCAAGTACCTCCAGGAGTGGTTATGAGTGCAGAGCCAGGAGTAGCCCCTGAGCACTGCCAGGTGTTGTCCAAAAACAAAAAAAAAAAGAAAAGAAAAGAAAAGAAAATACAGAAGGCACATTTGAAAAGAGGCATGAAGGCTCAGAGTTGGATCTGAGGGCCAACGCACATATGAAAGCCTGGGCCTGACCCAGCACTACCTGGACCACCTGGTCTCCCACTATAGCGAGAGACACACAACATGCCAGCCCTGGGTACCGCTGAGTGTGACCCAAAGACAAATAAATAAAAAAGGAAACACATAAAAAATTATATTTAATACCCAACGACAATAGAATTTTTAAGAACATGACAATCACGATCACGATCATCCTGTTGTTCGTCGATTGCCTCGAGCAGACCCCAGTAACATCTCCTTCGTCCTAGCCCTGAGATTTTAAAAAGTGCCACATTCAAGGCTCTTTCAGGGTTAGGAGAATGAGACCCATCACTGTTACTGGTATTTGGCATATTGGGTTCGCCACGAGGAGTTTGCAAGACTCTGCCGTGTGGGCAGCTAACATTCGGTAACCTGCCAGGTTGTCCAGAGAAAGAATGAGACAATAATATATAGTGTTCACAAAAAGGAAATCATGAGGATTCCAATTTCCTTACATTCTGATCAAAACACTATTGTCGGGGCTGGAGCAACAGCACAGTGGGTAGGGCGGCCAACCTAGGTTTGATTCCCAGCATCCCATATGGTCCCCTGAGCACCGCCAGGGGTAATTCCTGAGTGCAATTTTTAAGAACATGACAATAACAAAATATAATTTTTCCCTTCAGATTAACAAATATTTTAAAGAGTTGATAATACTCCATGTATTTGAAAGATTAGGTCCGAGGTGCTATCTCACTGACATTCAAGGCTTTAAGTAATCTAGTATCTCTGGATTTGGTGTTATATATTGTTATTTAACCTAAGAAAATATTCAGGCATATGAACAAATACAGGGGTTTTTACTCAGCTCTTGCAAAAATGAGACATTAGAAATAGCTGAAATATCCATTAACAGAAAGGTTGGTTAAATTAATCACAGGGTTTGGAGAGACAGCTCCCAGGGCTGGAGTGCTTGGTTTGCAAGCAGGAGACCAAGGCCTGGTCCTTAACACCAACACGGCCCCCAAGCACCACTACAGCAACCCTCAGACAACGCGGAGGAACAGTGTGGCCACAGGCACATTTTTATTTGTTATAAATCACCCTGCTGTGAAGGACTTATTGTGCACTAAAAACAAATGAAGTGCACTGGTAATGAAGGAATCCATGGTGTAGTATTTGGCTTAAATTTTAAAAGAGCGGGGAGAAGGGGGGCAGAAGAGGTCACTCCAGGGTTAAGGGGTTTATCTTGTACCCTGTCGACCCTAGTTTGAATCCTTGGCACTAACTCATGGTCCCTTGAACAACTTCAAGCGACAGTCTAGAACCGCCTGAGCAATGATATGGCCCCAAAACAAAACAATAATATATATATAGCTCATTTATTGGTCTTATTTCAGAGGGCCTCTGTCCCTCTTGGAGAGCCCGGCAAGCTACCGAGAGTATCTCACCCGCATGGCAGAACCTGGCAAGATACCCATGGCATATTCGATATGCCAAAAACAGTAACAATAACGGGTTTCATTCCCCTGACTCTGAAAGAGCCTCCAATATAGCAGCATTGAGAAGGACGAGTAAGGAGAGGCTGCTAAAATATCAGGGATGAGATGGATGGAGATATTACTGGAGCCTGCTCAAGCAAATCGATGAACAACGGGACGACAAGTGATCAAGTGATATATATATTTATATGTGTGTATGCAAGTATGTAAATAAAGTTTTTAAAAGACCAGGTTTCAGGCCAGAGAGATATTACAGGACATCTTTTTCATTCATGCAGCAAGCTCCAGTTCATATCTCTGGCCCCACATATGGCCCTGAGAACTGCCAGGTGTCACTCCTCAGTAGAGCCAGGAATAGCCCTTGAGTACTGCAGAAAAACAAACAATGTAAAAGAACCTGTTTGTATCATCTATAGAATGCCATTTTTGCTTATTAAAAGTAGAATTAGCCAAATACATTTATTTACAAATATAACTAGGAAGAATATGCCACTTACCTTCTGGTGGATGGAATTATGAAAGCCTTTCTCTTTTAATACTTTCATGTTGAAATTTGTTATTTAAAAAAACAAATCATGTACTTTATAACTAGTCATGTATTTTATAACTAGAACAAAAAGGTGTTTCAACATTGTACGTTTCAAACAGAAAGCACACCAAATTTAGAAATAAATTTAGTATGAGTCAAGGTTATTACAGTCTAATTTTTGAATCTTACTTAAATTGCTAATGTGACTGAAGAATCTGGATTGATAAAAATGTTGTAACTGGGAACAGAGTGATAATACAGCAGGTCGGGTATTTGCAGCCAACCTGGGTTTAATCCTCAATATTCCATATGGTCTTCTGAACACTATTCGGAGTAATTCCTGAGTGCAGAGCTAAAAGTAACTCCTGAGGACTGCCAGGTGTGGGCCAAAAAATTTAATAAACAAATATTAAAATGTAGAAACCTTGCATGACACTCTATTTACAAGGGTGTCCATTTGCCAAGCTCATCAAAGGCTGCACTTAAAATCTGTGTATTTTATACTTTGTAAGTTATAACTCTGGATGGGGGCGGAGAAATAGCATAGCATAGTAGGTAAGGTGCTTGCCTTGCATGCAACCAACTTGGGTTCAATCTCTGGCATCCTATAATTGAATCTGACTTAAATTGCTAATGTGACCAAAGAACTTGGATTGATAAAAATTTTGGTTTCCCCAGCATTGCCAGGAGGAAGTGCAGACCCAAGGAGCGATCTCTGAGTGCCCCTCTTCCCCTGCAAAAAAGGAGAGAGGGTGGGTCTAACAGAAGATTCCAGGGAGTATGTCCAGGGGGAATTCTTTCAAGCTGCACATCTTTAGGGCCTCCTGACAGAAGTCAAGCTCCTGTACCTAACAGTTTTTCCCAGTCTTGGGAGTCCTGGGAGTCCTGGGAGTCCTGGGAGATAGTGAGGGGAAAAGGATTCCCGGGTTGAAGCTGAAGCAATTCTAGGAAGAAAGTCACTCACTTTCCTCCTCGATTTCTGCGTGGAGGATCCTGCCTGCTATTTTGCAACTTGCTTTTGTTTGGTTCTTTTTTAACCTGTGTATCCTGCACTCTGGGCTGGAGCGATAGCACAGCGGTAGGGCATTTGCCTTGCGCGCAGCCAGCCCGGCTGAGCCGGGTTTGATACCTCCACCCCTCTCGGAGAGCCCGGCAAGCTACCGAGATCCTGCACAGCAAAGCCTGGCAAGATACCTGTGACGTATTTCATGTGCAAAACACAGTAACAAGTCGTCTCACAATGGAGACGTTACTGGGCCCGCTAGAGCAAATCAATGAGCAACGGGAGGACAGTGCCCGAATCCTGTACTCCACAGGTGGTTTCACCTATCAGGTGACTGTCTTGAATGACTCACGTCAATTCTCGAGACTTCAGGCTCCAGCTGTGACGCGAGTGCGGGAGATTGTCCCGAGGTGCCAAAGAGGTACATGCTGTTACCTGGTCACACTCAACCCACTCGGAACCAGAGACAGTGCCGGGGTTAAGACACCGGCTTGCACACAACCCATCCTAGTTCCATCCCTGGCCCCACATAGTTACCAAGAGCCACTGGGTGTGGCCCTGAAGGCGCCCCCCTAAACACCACCTGGGTAATCCTCAGGGCCACGGAGCCATGGGGACCAGGCAGCAAAGCATCCTCAAGCCCTTGCATTGAACTACTGTCCTGGTTGGGTGAGAGTCACTGGGACCAGCCTGAGCACAGCTCCCGAGGCCCATATCAAAAACAAAAACAAAAAAAAAAAAACTGCAGCACCCTTGCCATGGCCACTCCACATCTGCCTCGGCTCTCACCACCTTCCCCCAGCCGAGAGATACAGCGGGCTCAGGTGACTGACTTGGTTTTCAAGCTCCATCAGGCTTGAATAATGGAGTGAGAGGTGAGAGATAGAAGCCTTGAGGCGCAAACAATGAGGTCTTTTTGCCCCCCCCCCCCCCCCCCCCCCCCGGCTCAGCCTGCTCCCTGGCACTCACCCTGCTTTTGACTGTCCAACAGACTCCTTGACGAGGGGGACGCTCAGGCTCTGCCCTGTGCCATGTCGGCACCTGGCAGGGGAACCGGGGTCTGAGCCCAGTGCAGACAGACCCGTCTCCCCACCACCCGCCGTGGGCAGGGCTTACCACACGCAGTGCAGGTAGGGAAAGTGGAAGGCCGACAGCAGCTCGCAGAACGCCCGGTCACTGATCCAGCAGAAGAGGGCGAGGGTCCACCAGAGGCCAGAGAAGAGGCCCAGCTTAAACACGCGCACGTTGTCACACCTGCATCGGGGGCCAGAGAGCCACATGCGGTCAGGGGGGTTTCTGCCCACGGCACTGGCCACCCCCTGGTTCTCACCTCTTCCATGTCGGTTCCCTCCACTTGCTCCTGACTGTAGGTGCTCCCATCAGACTCACGCCCCAACCACCTCTCCGCAGGCCCACCTGAGGTCGGATACAGTTCCTAGCTTTTTGGTTGGCATCTCTTCTCTTTATTTTTGTGTTCTGGGTCACAGTTGGCTGTGGGTTTTTTTTTTAGGGGGATCACAGTTCCTGGTTCAGTGCTCAGAGATCACTCCTGGTGGTACTCAGGGGACCCTATGGGGTGCTGGGGATGAAGCAAGACAAACACTAACACTTGTACTATCTCTATGCCTCCAGATTCAAGTCCCAAGTGTCCATAACCAACTCCTAACCCTTTGCCCTGCCTTGAGCCCCACGGCATGTGCCATTCCTCTCAGTGAGTCCAGGCCTTCAGATGGTCAGGCCAAGAACATTAGAGTCACCGTTCTTTCTCATACAGACTGCATCCAATCTGTTAGCTTGACCCTTAAACACATCCAAAATCTGTATCTCCCTGCCCCCTCCACTCATCCCAAATTCCATCCGTTTGTTAGGTCTGGGGCCACACCCAGTGGTGCTCAGGGATCACTCCTGGTTCTGTGCTCAGGGATCACCACATAGCAGTGCTTGGGAGATTCTATGCAGTGCCACGAATCAAAGCCAGGTCAGTTGCGTGCAGGGTAAGCACCTTGCCCTTGTGCTAGCTCTCCGAACCCCACTTGTGGCTCTTTCCCGAGTTATTTAGGCCCTACTCTGTCCTTGCTGCTGGAGTCAATTCTCAACCCCCGGCACAACGCCCCCACATCCTTAAATCATCTTGAGAGCCTGAGGCCCCCATATACTGGCTTTCCCACTCTGCGGAGTCGGTCAAATGTCTCTGAGTCAGGCCTTTCCTTGACCACCCATCTTAATGGCTGCATCACCTGTCTCTCCTCCCTTACAGGAGCCTCCCTACCCTTGCTTCCAGCTTGTAATTTCTTCTGAGATGATTATTGCCCCACTGACAGTCTTTAGTCATTGACGATCTGGTTCTTTGCGCTCCATCCCCTTTCACCAAGGGACATGTAAGCAGCTCATCCTGTCACCTGGCACCTGGCACACAGCAGCTAGGCTGCGTTTGCTGGATAAAGGAATGAGCTCTAACTTTTGGAATGCACCGGGACAAACTTTCCCCGAAATAAACCTCAGAAGCCCAAAGGAAACTGCCACTGCCCTTTTCTTTCCTTGTTACTCAGAAGCTCAAGGAGTGACACCCGGTCCTTTCAAATGCCCCATGCAGTCCCCTTCCCCCAGCCTACCGCTCTTGATCCATCAAGCTCTCTCAGGACTCCGACTCCCACCCAACACCTGGGCCCCTGGAAGGAGTCATTTTGACCTGTTCCCCTTTGTGAACAAATAAGTTGTGTCAGAGGCAGTCCGGCTAATATCTCTATCAGCTGCCTGCGGCAATATCAGCAAAGGTACCCTAAAAATTGTGCTGGGATTTTACCCCAACACTCCTATATAAACAAACAAACAAACAAACAAAAATGTTCTGGGCATCCAGTTCCAAAGACTGGCTCACACGTATATTTAAAAAGTTGCTGGGCGGGGGGGGGGGGGGGGGGGGCTAGAGCGATAGTACAGCAGGTAGGGTGTTTTGCCTTGCACACAGCCGACCCGGGTCCGATTCCCAGCATCCCATATGGTCCCCCGAGCACCGCCAGGAGTAATTCCTGAGTGCATGAGCCAGAAATAACCCCTGTGCATCACCGGGTGTGACCCAAAAAGCAGTAAATAAATACATAAATAATAAAATAAAAAGTTACTTAAGGGGCTGGAGCAATAGCACAGCAGGTAGGGTGTTTGCCTTGCACACAGCGAACCCAGGTTCAATTCCCAGCATCCCATATGGTACCCTGAGCACTGCCAGAAATAATTCCTGAGTGCAAAGCCAGGAATAATCCCTGAGCATTGCCAGGTATGACCCAAAAAGCCAAAAAAAAAAAGTTGCTTAAAGAGTGTTTTAATTGCTGATAGCGGTTCTGGAATCCCTGAGCAATGTTTGGGAGCTCGCCTTATAAACAAATAAAAAAGTACCCTAAAAGTTCTCTCATTACCAGGGCCAGACAGGACAGTGGGCAGGGCATTTGCCTCGTATACAGCCCACCCGGGTTCAATGTCTGGCACCCCATATGATCCCCCGAGCCCTCCAGAAGTGGTCCCTGAGCACAGAGCCAGGAATAGCTCTGAGCAAAGCTGGGTGTGGTCCCAAAACAAAAACAAACAAAGAAACAAATAAAAAAACAATTAGCTGGGCTAAAGACATTCAATGTCTAACTGGCTAAACACATCAAATTTCTGAAAGAAGTAATGATTCTTGCAATACTTTATGCCCCTAGAACGGGCAGGTATGCTCTCCCATCCCCCACCTACCCCCCCCCCCCCCACACACACACAAGAAAAGAAACAAAAGAAAATAATGAATAGAGATCCATGGCTTGGGGAGGATAAATTCCTACTTGGTGACCAAAGGAGAGATGAACCATTTCCACTCTGCCCTTTCTCTGCACGCTACTGTGAAGGGCTTGGCCTCACCCGCCTGCCCCCCACAAACACAGTGCCCCCTACGAGCCCATCTTCCTTGCCATTCCCCATTTCCATGGAAACAAGGTCCCCCATGGCACCCTGACATGTTCCTGCACTGTCGTGAGCTAGAATGTACTTTTGGTAAAATTATTTGTCTGACATCTGTCTAGGTTATAAAAGAGCAGGAACTCTTACCACTGGACTCCCTGACACAGACCCAGTGCCAAAGCAGCAGTGCTGGCCAAGAAAGATCAGGGGTCATGAAGCATTAAAGCACAAATCAATCACCGTGTGCTGAGTGGATTGCTAGAAGCGAAGGACAACTGCATGTGGATTCCAGGAATCTGCTCAAACTATTTTTTTCCTTTTCATTAAAAAATGAAACAGTAACCACATTAACTGGGCGCCCAATTCTTGGAGTCCTTGCAAGATGCTATAAAGGCAAAACAAACAGGTTCGTGCCTGGCCATTTTAATAGTTAACACAAAAACTGACGTACATAAATAGAGACAGTCTGGGACAAGAAGATCCGTGTCTACTCGACCGGACTGAAATTGAGGTTCGATTTAATTAGGCCTAGAGAGCCTGGCACACCAGCACGGACAGTGACCGGCTGGAGAAGTGGGACGTGTTCATGTCTGTGCTGCTATTCTGTGGTGTTGTCAAGAAGCAAGAGAAGCAAAATGTCAGGGGATTAGCCACTGAGGGGCAGGGGGGGCTGGGAGGCGGGTGGAGAGGGCGGGGGCTGGGCTGGCATCTTGAAGCAGGGTCTGGAGCACACACTGCCTGTCCCTCCTGAGGCCAGAGAACCATGTCCTTCTGCAACCTACTTACTGGGGGGGGGGGGGGGGGGGGAGCTTTGGGGCAGGGAGGGGCGGGGCTTCTTTTCCAAACCTGGGCCCCATTAGATTTTCTCCTGTTTCACAGAGTTTAGATCCAAATGCCAGCATGCCCTTCCATGAAAGGAGCAGGACAAAAGTTCTATTTACAGCAGGACTCTATTTTGAAGATGGGAAAAATAACCAAGGGGCGAAGAGGCAATCTCGCATTTCCTCTCTTTCTAAGTCTTTGTTTTATTTGCAAAATTTTTCTTTTACTATACATTTCTTTTACTATACATTTCTTCCTCTAATAAAAAATTTTTAAAAAGTCCACTTTGCAATAGTTTTCATTTTTAAGATTTAAAAGTAAAGTCAGCTGAAGCCACTTATAACGTGACAATACTGAAAATGTCAGTAAATGTCAGGTCGTGACCCCAAATCACAATGAAAAATCTGTCTGTGGGGCTGGAGAGATAGCACAGCGGGTAAGGCCTTCGCCTTGCACACGGCCAGCCGGGGTTCGGTCCCCAGAACCCCATTGCTCCTCTGAGCACACCAGGAAGAATTCCTTACTGCTGGGCCAGGAGTTACCCCCTGAGCATTGCTGGGTATGGACCCAAAACAAACAAACAAAAAATTCTTTCCTTGTCATCTGAGAGGAGGTTCCAAAATGACCATAAAAATGTGACAACACTAGAAAGAAGCTCTTGGAATAAAGGCTATTGAGAAAGAAGGAAGGTAAGGAGCAGCATCCCTCCTGTTTCCTCGGACCCACGGGAGGCACAGCAACAAGCACTGGCTGAAACATCCCAGATCACCGCTGCCCACCAGCGGGCAGACCCTGGGAGGAAATGCAGAGAGCAATTGTGCATCCTCTTGCCTGGAAACTCAATCAAAATAGGCCAGTGAGGGGGCAGAGAGATAGCACAGCAGGTAAGGTGCTTGCCTTCAATGTGGCTGACCTGGGTTCTATCTCCAGCATTGATCCACCAAGCACAGCCAGGAGAAATTCTCTGTGTTTTTTTTTCTTTTTTGGGCCATACCCAGAGATGCTCAGGGGGTTACTCCAGGGGTTGGCCCTGCACTCAGGAATTACCCCTGGCGGTGCTTGGGGGACCATACAGGATGCCGGGGATCGAACTCGGGTTGAGCATGTGCAGGGCAAATGCCCTACCCACTATACTATCTCTCCGGCCCACCAGGAGAAATTCTTGAGTGCAGAAATTTTTGAGCATTGCTGGTGTGCTCCCACACACACACCAAAAATAAGAGGTGAGGGGAAGCCAAGCTGTCAAACAACTTGCCTCTTCTTGCTGGGTTTGGGTAGAAGTTGAGCTCAGCCAGGAGGTAGCCCTGTGTACATGGAATCTAGGATGAGCAAAGGAGACAGACCCTGCACCACACACTACAGTGCCCTAATGGAGAGGTTTGGGGTGCTGTGAGGTGAACTGAAAATCTGAAGGCTGAACATCAAGAAGGCACCGAGAAGGAGGGACAGGGAGAAGGAATAAGGTCCATCAGGGACACAGAATGACAGAATGCCGGGAAGGG